GTATGACCTTGTATTCTTTCATTCTTTTTTATGAAAATTCAGTTTCTTGTTTTAAAAAAAAACTGAAAAGTAAAAGAAGAATGAAGGAAAATGTGACGTGAGGATTCACCATCCATCCCACAAAAGCATCAAACCTATGGGGATAAGATCGAGTAAGAGAACGTTTTCTGTATTTTATAGGTAGTATTGAGACTTCTATAGGAAAGCGATCAAATAAACATCTCAATTTCCTTAGGGTTTTTGAGTTTCCAAATAAGGTTCACCAAGGGGGTTCTGAAATGGAGTTTAGACTTAGTGAGGTGCATGAAAGTTGAACTGGAGGAGAATGTATCTTTAGACTCTTAAGAACTGAATAATCTTGTCTTGGCCCTCTTTTAGTCTGAGCAAATCATGCTTTTCAATAAACATGACCAACTGGCTAGTTCTCCATCAAAAAATCTTATTCTCACCCCAAATCCCGAACTTGGTGCTCAACATTCCCACTCGATGCTATGAAGGAGCTGTTTAGACGAAGGAGCATAGATATCGAGGAATAGTGAGGAGAAAGGGGCTGAATCAGCCCAGGCATTTTCCATTGAAGTTTGTAGTATTGAAGAATTGTGGGTATTGTTGTTATTCGTTCAAAGAATTCTTTTATCTTTTTTGGCATTACCTTGAAACATTGGAACTCATCCTATGAGTTTTCTCCATTCTTTTTCCTTGCATTGGGTGTTCGATTACCAAACTTATGCTTTTTTCCTTATTCTATAGCAGCGCCCCTGGATTTTTCCCCCCTGCAATGTGTGAAACTTCTATTCTGTTGTCACGCTCATGAGATATTGTGTATTTGACATACATTTCTTGTTTGTTACCCGTTTATCTTGCAGTTCCTCCCACTACCATCTGTGGCTGGCTTTTATCTGGCTCGGTTCTTTACAAGGAAGAGCTTGCCATCTTACTTTGCTTTTGTTGTGCTGGGGAGCTTGATGATCATGTGGTTTGTGATGCATAATTACTGGGATCTAAATATTTGGCTGGCTGGCATGTCCCTCAAGTCTTTCTGTAAACTCATTGTTGCTGATGTGGTCCTCGCCTTGGCTGTTCCTGGTCTAGCTATATTACCGTCAAAACTTCAGTTTTTGACGGAAGCCTGTTTGATTGGACATGCCGTACTACTATGTCATATTGAGAACCGTTTTCTAAGTTACACCAGCATATATTATTATGGTCTTGAGGATGATGTGGTTTATCCAAGCTATATGGTTATTATGACCACATTCGTTGGCTTGGTCCTGGTACGCAGGCTATCTGTTGATAACAGAATTGGGCCAAAGGCAGTTTGGGTTCTCACTTGCCTGTATGCTTCAAAGCTGGCAATGCTGTTTATTGCTTCCAAATCTGTTGTATGGGTGTCAGCTATTCTCTTACTGGCTGTTTCACCCCCATTGCTCCTTTACAAGTAATATAACGAACTTGTTCTTACAGATTTTTTTCTAGATTCCATTAACCTTCATACTATTAAGACTTCAACTTTCAATCGGGATCTTACAGGGATAAATCAAGAACATCCTCCAAAATGAAGGCTTGGCAAGGTTATGCACATGCTGGAGTGGTTGCTTTATCGGTGTGGTTTTTCCGTGAAACAATATTTGAAGTCCTGCAGTGGTTCATCGGTAGACCCCCATCAGATGGTTTGCTTTTAGGGTGCTGTATTTTTATGGCAGGGTTGGCTTGCATACCAATAGTTGCTCTCCACTTTCCCCATGTCCTGGTATTTATGTCTTATTTATTACCTTCTTTTCTGTTTACTTTGTTGTCAACTTGTACTTTTTAAATTTCAAATGTCTAAACAATGACTCAGTTTGATGCACCTGAAGAACATTAATCAATCAAATAATTATGTTCTTAACTTGCAATCGTAAGACTGTTATTACTGAGTATGAGTTCAACAACCATATTCTCCAAAGTCTCACTAGTTAATTCTATCATAATCATTTTTGTTGTGCTTTGCTATTTGTGTAAACCATTTGTGAGTTTCTTCAAAGCTCTCTGAAGTTTCATAATTGGAAAAGAACCGTTTCTTTTATTCGGGGGAAAAAAAACTTTTTACTTTCTCTTGAGCTGTTTGCCAATTTATTTTTCTAGGATTTGACATACAGTAGTGAACTAATGACCATTTTCTACTTATCTTTTGCAGTTAGCAAAGAGATGCTTAGTGCTAGTTGTGGCAACTGGTTTGCTATTTATCATGATGCAGCCACCAATTCCCTTGTCTTGGACATACCGTTCTGAACTTATTAAAGCCGCCCGCCAGTCTTCTGATGATATTTCCATCTATGGGTTTGTTGCCTCAAAACCTACCTGGCCATCTTGGCTGCTTATTTTAGCAATTCTGCTCACTCTTTCAGCTATTACATCCATAATACCCATTAAATATATTGCCGAGTTGAGAGTATTTTACTCCATAGCTATGGGTATTGCACTTGGCATTTACATATCTGCCGAGTACTTCCTTCAGGCAGCGGTCCTTCATATCCTTATAGTTGTCACCATGGTTTGTGCTTCGGTGTTTGTGGTGTTCACTCATTTTCCATCTGCTTCAAGCACCAGGGTCTTACCTTGGGTGTTTGCGTTGCTTGTTGCATTATTCCCTGTGACATATCTTTTGGAAGGGCAAGTAAGGTTAAAAAGCCTTTTAGGAGATGACAGCGTTAGTGATATGGGAGAGGAAGAGCAGATGATCACAACACTATTAGCAGTTGAAGGAGCAAGGACATCACTGCTTGGCCTTTATGCAGCAATCTTTATGCTAATTGCATTGGAAATAAAGTTTGAACTTGCGTCTCTCATGCGAGAGAAAACTTCTGAAAGAGGTGGAATGAGACACACACGATCTGGTGAAAGTAGCATTGGTAGTCTTAACACAAGAACAAGATTTATGCAACAACGGCGGGCTTCTTCATTGTCAACATTCACCATCAAGCGAATGACGGCTGAAGGAGCATGGATGCCAGCAGTTGGCAATGTTGCTACAGTTATGTGTTTTGCTATATGCTTAATTTTGAATGTTAATCTCACAGGTGGTTCAAACTACGCTATATTTTTTCTTGCTCCGATCCTACTGCTTTTGAACCAGGACTCAGATTTTGTTGCTGGATTTGGGGACAAGCAAAGATATTTCCCTGTTACCATAGTGATATCAGCATACTTGGTCCTCACTGCAATGTACAACATAGGGGAAGATGTTTGGCATGGAAATGCTGGATGGGGTCTGGATATTGGTGGACCAGATTGGATATTTGCTGTTAAAAACTTAGCTCTTCTCGTCCTTACATTCCCAAGTCAGATCCTTTTCAACAGATTTGTATGGAGCTTTTCGAAGCATTCGGACTCGACGCCACTGCTAACACTGCCCCTTAATCTACCATCTGCCATCATGACAGATGTGCTTAAGGTTAGAATATTGGGGATTTTAGGAATTATTTATTCCTTGGCCCAATATATAATCTCCAGACAACAGTATATGTCTGGATTAAAGTATATTTAGCAGACTGTACTCTGTAGATTATGTGGTGCTTTTTTTCAAACAAGCGGTGCAATTAAGGTTTGTTCCTTCAGCCTTTGCTGCTTGTGGTATTTACTATTGCTTTTCCAAGTCCTTAATGATTTTATCTTTTTCCATTCTATAGGAGGCTAGTGATTTAGGAATATTCCCAATTGTCTAAACCTCCTTGACGAATCAATGGTATCTGTTACGTTTATCGGCGCAGCGACATGTTTCAATTTTGATTGAGCATGTTGTATGATAACAACGTACTAGAATCTGGCCATGCATCATATTATGTCGGGGAATTTTGACGTGGAGCTCCACTAGGTTCTCGATTTATCACCTTGACCTCCGGTGATTGACCGATCTTTATCATGGGAAACTGAATTTTGTTTCATGTAGAACACATACGATGCCATCTTACTGCTTGTTTATTTTCATTAGAATTGTTCACTCAGCACACATGGTTCAATTCACCATTTTCTTTCTTCTTGGTTAGTTCTAGGATGACGACCCTACATTTTTCAAGGAATAGTGACCAAACTCTTGCGATTTTCCTTTCAGTTGCCTTGCAAAAGAAAATAATAAATATAGTAATGTAATTTGTATGACAATAGCCGCTGTTAAAGAAAGGAGGCACCCTTTGTTTTGGTTTGTTTTTCTTATTTCAACTCTTCTTCCAATAGAATGCAAGAGAACGATGCACGTCGTTTGCACGTGTTCGATGCCTTCGTAGTAGTAATGTTCATGTAGTTTAGCCGTAGTGTGAGGACATTATAACCTGCTTTAAGGATTTGAATCTGGATTATAAGTGAAGTAAAGGGTACCATTGAGGGAGTTCCGGAATGTGCTTATTGGAGGGCTTAAATTGTGAGGCTTAGTAGGGAGCCTGTTAGGACCATTAAAGGTGCACCGACCAACGCTCAATAATAGAACATATGAGAACTTAGATGAACCAAGGAGATCGGTAGTCAAGTGGGTAAGTGCATCTAGAACTCTAAATAATCCCAAAGGATGAAATATACCCCTAGCATTTAGAGCGACGATGTTTGTGTCAATCTGATTTTAAAATTAAAATGCATGTAGAACAACATTTACGTCATCTTTCACATAAATTAATGTGACAACTAACCTCTAAAATTGATTATATAAATAATATTAACAATGTTATAAATAATATCATATACGTCATCTAACTTTTACATTTTTTTTTTTAGTACAACAAAATAAGTAAATTTGAACATAGACTTATGCCATGGCAGCAATCATATAAATTTTTATCATATATATTTCCTTAAACAAATAAAGTTGAAAGATACTTTTTAGAACAAATCGCAAAATTTACATGTAGGTGAACGGATAAAAAACATATTAAGATAAGAATCATATCTCAAACGCGAGTTACTTTTGGAAACCAAGCTATATTTTGACCATAATTCGTAAGAACATGAAGATAAGTAATCTTCTAGAACATGAAGATAAAGTAATCCTCTAATTCAGTAACATGGGTAGGAGGAGTCTGATTTCTACAATCGAACTTCTCTAAGAGAGTTATTTCCCTGTAAAAGCTTATACCACTAACCTTATTGAATATTGCGTTACCAGCAACTAGAAAACCAGTAAAAGAAAGGTAGAGCGAGAAGAGGAGGGGTATGAGTATTAACCGTGTGATGGATATTTAAGATAACATCTCTGAAGAGATTTAGCAGTCTTGGATTGGAACTAACGAAAGTTTGCCCCCATACGCATCAGGGAGCTGGCTCTCATCAATGTCGTCAAGCAGCGTGGAATTCAGCTTTTTGTCCTCCACAAAGCTTATCTGCAAACATGCAGTATGACAAAAGTGTAGTTTTGAGTAATTAGTAAAACTACTTTTAACCACAGTCAAAGAATTGATAGTAAATGATGTCCCCACTTATGCACACAAGAATCTGTTTCAATAGAAATGCTATAGAAATTTAACCTTGTTCTTGGTTTTCTTGTCAATAAATGGGTAAACCATCTTCCATGCTGTCATGAATATGTAAGGGACGTGGACAATGTATAGCTTGCCCAGTCTCTCTGGGTAGTAGTCCTGTGATCAAAACAATCAAACTACTGTTATACTAATTGGTATGCAATTCTAATTCTATAATCTTACGGTAATCGTTCAAGTCCAACGCTAGCAGATATTGTCTTTTTTGAGTTTTTTCTTTTGGACTTCCCCTCAAGGTTTTTAAAACATGTCTGCTATAGAGATGTTTCCACATGCTTCTAAAGAATGTTTCGTCTCCCCCACAACTTATGTGAGATATAACAATCCACCCCCCTTCGAGGCCTAGCGTCCTCGCTGACACACGTTCTCTTCTCCAATCGATGTGAGACCACCAATCCACCTACCTTCGGGGCTAGTGTCCTTGCTCGCACACCGACTTGTATCCACCCCCTTCGGGGCTCAACCTCTTTATTGGCATCGCTCGGTATCTAGCCCTAATACTTTGTAACAGCTCAAGTCTATCCAGTCTACTACTAATAGATATTGTCCTGTTTGGGCTTTCTTTTTCGTGCTTCCCCTCAAAGTTTTTAAAACGCGTCTATTAGGGAGAGGTTTCCACACCCTTATAAAATATGTTTCGTTCTCCTCTCCAACCGATGTGAGATCTCACACTTGCTAACAGTGAACCACTACTATTCTGTAAAGGATTCCTCGAATGTTCAAATGTTAAACCTGCAAGATTGATAGAGCTGCTCGATATCCACGAATATCGCTATTAGAGTATCCCCATCCCTGAAGGTCACCAATACACACAAACTTTTCCTGCCCTCTTGGAATCCTGAAAGATAGAACAAATCTGCCATAAATTATTTTCAACCTTTTTTTCTCACAAAGTGAAAGAAAAATAACAATAATTCGTCATTGACTCTGGAATCTATGTTGTTAGAATAAGTTAGGGGATAATCATGGTGAATGAAGACTTGAGCTTCTTCAAGATTTCCCCTCAAGTTACTTCAAGGTACTATTTTCCATTGGAACCAACTAAAATGCAGGCAACTGAAGTGATAGAGGAGCATAAATTACCTGGAACATATTTTATCTAAAGCAAAGATTACGAAACCTGCAAAAGGTTAAGAAGATGAACTGAGAACCCTCATCTGTGATTTTAAATGAAATAAACATCATCAAATTTGGATTCACATCACATGAGTTCAGATTCATAACATACGAATAAACTCTTCTAAATTTCCTTGTTTGTGCCTGTTACCAAAGCCAACTACAATTGGATGTCCCTTCTTATCAACACCTTGCATGAACAACTTGTTGTGAGCGAGATTGGTTGATAGCTCAGACACTGATATAAATCCGTCAGGAATAGCTGATCTTCTCCAGCTCAAGTACTTCAGAAACATGGCAGAAGCCTTCTCTATATCTAAATCACGAGCTCGTAAAAACCTTCGTAGCATGAAATCATCTACATCCTGCAAACATGATGCACAATGTCCAACATCCTTAAATAACAAAATCATCAAAGGTTATTCGCATGCACAAACTGTTCTTAAGTTATAGTAAATAGTAAAAAACAACAGTAGCAAATACTCATCCACCGTGCAGCTTGAAACCAGCGACAATTGCAATTCATTCGATTATCCTTACATGTTCTTCAATGCCAAAAACAAATGGCTTGTTATTTTAGGTGGTATGCATCTGGTAAAATTTACCCTCTCAATTCTCATAACAAATATTCCTACAAATGAATTGCTCGCAACAGTTTCCATTTCACAGGATTCTTTTATGCTAATTGCTCTTGCTCAATGTTTGGATATTTTTAAAATATGGTTAGTTCGCTAAATCTGCAACTATATCTATGTGTTCCGAAAATAGTTTTAAAAACTCTTATGATTCATATCTGTGGGCCGATTCTAGTAAAGACAATGGCCAAATTAATTGAAGAATAAAAGGAGGATTCAACCTCATGATTTAAAAAATACTTCTAACGATGCAATAGCATGAGTTGCAGATTTGACGAATACATGAGCGCAAAAATATTGATCCAGTGGAAAGGTTGGACGGGGACCTGATGAGCAAAATCAATGTAGAATAACAGGAAAACAGACAAGATCGAATCCGACCACTGTATACAAGATGTTGTAAAAAATTTCTCGAGAAAAACAATCCTCCAGATCTTAAGAACCAAAATTTTCAAAAGCAGCAAAAGCAACTGATTCTCAATGACAAAGCATCAATCGCAACAAAAGAAACGCAGGAAAGCGAAGTTTTCTCGATCTTATTCATACGAGTAAACTAAAAAGAAGTAAGTAACCTTAGCAGAGGAGTCTTCTCCTTCAACAAAAGCTCTCATGATCGCGAGCTTCTGTTTCTCAAGCTCATTGCTCTCCAAGCTATCATCAATCACAGGCGTCAGAGAACCATTTGGTTCTTCCACACACTCCTTGAACTCCTTTTCTTCCTCCTCCTCCTCCTCCTCCTCCTCCGTCCATTCCGACTTCTCCTTCGGCGTTGCGTTACGCTCTACAGACCTCGAAAGCTGAGACGCCATGAAGGAAGGCAGAGTGCTGAGGGAGGAAAGAATGAGAATCTGTACTACAAGATCTCTCTCCTTCTGTCCGTCTCCATTTACAGTGGTTGAAGAAGAAGAAGAAGAAGAAGAAGAAGAGAGCGAAACGACAACTTTATTAAATGCGTGTTGTTACACGCGCCGCCTCCACCGTTTTAAGTTTCAACGGATTTTGCATCTTACGATCGCAGGGAATCGTCAACATCGTTCAGTTTCTTTTCTTTTCTTACTTTTTAATTAATTATTCACAATAAATAAATGTATATAGAGAGAGATAAACACACTCTCTACAATGGTATGATACTGTCCAAGGATAGTAACCCATCTGTAACTTTCATCCAACTTCTCCCCTCAAACAAAGTACGTCTCCCCAGGTTCGACTCCTTTTCTTTTGGAGTCGATTCTATGACATAACTAAGTTTAAGGTTTAACTCAGATACCATATTAGTTGATCGCCGACTCCACGACTCCACACAGTATTATGATATTATCCACTTTCAGTATAAGCTCTAGTAGTTTTTCTTTAACCTTTTCAAATATTGAGATTATAACAGGCTACAAAATTAATAAATTTAAATTTCTTTTTTTACCAATTTAAATTTTGATGAATTTTTTTTAAGGACTTCTGAATTAAAATATATTTTTATATTTTTTAAGAAATGTGAAAATATAGGAAAAAAAAACTAGAATGAAAAAGTAATTAAAAAAAAACATAATTTGATTTTTCATTTTAAAACTTTTTTTTATTATATATAATCTTGAATTATTAAAACGTGATTTAAAATAATTTTAAACGTGACAAATAATTATAATTGATACGAGGGATTGATATATGTTTGATATTAAGTGAGATTTTTTAAAATAATATAAAAAAAAATGAAAATAAGTTGAGTTGGGTTGACTCTAGTCAAATGGTTCGAGATAATCAATTCAATTAGCTCGACATTTCGAATTAGACCAGACCAAATTTAACGTGCATATGGCCGTAAACATTAAATATTGATTTTGGATTATATTAAAGTTAAAATAACCAGAAAATATTCCGAATTTGGTGGGGTTTTGGCCACATGTATGTATGTGGCATCCGTACCCTAAGGTCATCCTTCAAATCTTCAATTTGTGGCACACGTCCACTTCATTCCTTCATATCCCTCACATATTTTAATTATATAATTTTATAGTTTTCGCATTATTTTTTACATTTTAATGTAAAAAATTAGATGAATGTTTCTAAATTAAAATTTGAAAATAATAAAAAAGAACGGAGATGATGTCATGTATGTCTATTATAGTCCTTTGATTAAATAAAATGAGTCGGTTCAAATTAGGTCAATAATAATTGGGCTCGAGATTCAATAATTTTAATTTTTCATTAAATGGAAATTTGGCTCGTACCCCAAATCCAAATAGTTAGACGTAGAGCTTATTAATCTCAAGCTTACGTAATCTTCATCCAAAACGGTGTAAATAGGAGACTTTAGAAAATAATTTAAATTCATTTTAAGATAAAATTATTATGTCAATTTAAAATAAGAAGAAAACTTGTATTTTTTTTTTTAAATAATAATAAATAAGAAGAAACCTAATTTATTAAACTACATTAAAATATAAAATTGTGGAAATGATGGGGGTTACATTTTTAGCAATTTTTTGAAGTTAAAATATTAAAAATGGGAAATTCCTCTTTTAGCCCCATCAGGAATGGATACTGACCTTGGGCTTTTTTAATACCCATTATATAGCCCAACATTGTAAAGCCCATTCAAGCAGCCCAACATTGTAAAGCCCATTCAAGCAGCCCAACATTGCAAAGCCCATTCAAGCAGCCCATTAGAAAGTGAGAGTACGTGGCGGGAAGAGGAAGGAAACAAAACGACAAAAAGGCAGCAAATGGTGTTATCGAAAGTAGATGTTTAATGAGATCGAATAACTAAAAAAATATTATTATTATTTTTTAATTTTAAATTAATAAAAATATTCATAAATTTTATATTTTATCTTAAAAATATTTTTAAACTTTTTAAAATCACAATAATAATACACAGTACTTTTAAAATATTATCATCTTTTTTTGTAATATATCCATAAAAATTAAAAAATAGCACTAATACTTAACTTTATAAAAAAAAAAATTTTAAAAATTATTACCATTAATATATGACGAAAATAATAGAGTATTTTTTTATATTTTATTTTTTAAAAAAATACTATTGTACTCTAAAACTATTAAAATAAATAAATATATATATTATTTATTTATTTTTGGAATGGGATCTCTTAGAAACCCATTTTTCTAAATTTGGCGGGGAGATGATACAGAAAGCAGACCTGCCGAAGGTTGAGGGACCATTTTCTGAGAGCAGGAAAATGGGTTTCGCTCTTAAGCCATCTTCAATGGCTTGCGAGAGATTTGGACTTCGTAGCGACCAACGCGCCTCCAACTTTATTACTTTCTTCAATTTTTTCCCATGGATGATTCTCCATTCTTGCTGTAATTTCACTGTTCTTCACCAAATCAACATATTCCTTCTCTGTTTCTTCAAGCAATTCCCTCTCTCTCTCTCTCTCCCCGTGTGTTTTTAAAGCTTCAAATCTCCCATTCCCTCTCTAAACCTAATTTCTAAGAAACCCTTCTCCTCCAACAACTCCTCTTTCGACGTTTCAACCATTGGGGTCTCCTTGTTCTTCAAATACACTCTGCTTCTTCGCTTATCAAACGGAATACCCGAACCCCATTTCGGTTTTTGCTTGTTTTGTTACTCCAACGCTCTGATTTGGGTTCTTGAAGTCAGCAATGATGGAGCTCTGGTTTTGGGTTTTTGCTGTTTCTTTAGTTTCGAGGATTGCCGCTGTCCCCAATGCTGTTCCCACCGAACGGATTTCAGGTTTTCCACTGTTCTCTATGCGTTTGCTTTAACATTAAGTGATTTTTGTAATGAATGATCCTCTCGGTTTTGTTATTGTTATCTTGATATCCTCATTTCTGATGCGTATTGCTTTCGTTTACTACATAATTATGCTCTAGTTGTGAGCTAGTTGAGTTCTTGTGAGTCAGATTCTGCTCCTGTTCGTTGATTACATTGGACTTTCGAAGTTAAAAGAAAATGAACCTTGCAAGATTGTTGGGAGGGAGTCCCACATTGGCCCATTGGGGGATAACCATGGGGGTTATAAGTAAAAAATAGGACAATATCATACCATTGTAGAGGTTCGTAGTTCCTCACATGGTATAAAATTCATGCCCTTAACTTGGTCATATCTATAGAATCCTCAAATGTCGAATAAAGAAGTTGTGAGCCTCGAAAGTGTAGTGGAAAGTGACTCAATTGTCGAACAAAGGGTGTGTTTTGTTCGAGGGCTCCAAAGAAATGAGTTGAGTCTCGATTAAAGAAAGGGTGTTCGAGGGCTCCAAAGAAATGAGTTGAGTCTCGATTAAAGAAAGGGTGTTCGAGGGCTCCATAGGCCTTAGGGGAGGCTCTATAATGTACTTTGTTGGAGGGAAGGATAGTTGGAAGGGAGTGCTCAAAGTGGTCAATATCATACCATCATGGAGGTCCGTAGTTCCTAGCTAGACTTCACGTTCATATTCTGCAAGGCTTTGTCAACTTTAAGCTCTGAACTTCAGTGGAATCTGCATTTTGGTTAGATTGATCCAAAATGTTGGCATATTTGGTAATGTGACTTGTTTATTGGATGCAGGAAGTGCTGGGGATGTGTTAGAAGATAATCCAGTTGGAAGACTAAAAGTGTATGTTTATGATCTTCCAAGCAAATACAATAAGAAAACTCTTCAAAAGGATCCAAGATGTCTCACTCATATGTTTGCTGCTGAGATATACATGCATAGGTTCTTGTTGAACAGCCCTGTTAGAACACTCAACCCTGATGAAGCTGATTGGTTCTATACTCCAATTTATGTGACCTGTGACCTTACCCCCAATGGCTTGCCATTGCCCTTCAAATCCCCACGAATGATGCGCAGCGCCATTCAGCTTATCTCTTCCAATTGGCCTTATTGGAATAGAACCGAGGGCGCTGATCACTTCTTTGTTGTTCCTCATGACTTTGGTGCCTGCTTTCATTATCAGGTAATCTAACATACTTTCTCCACTAATATGAGGAAATTTAGATTTAAGTATGGCATGATCTATCAAACTTCTGGGTTTAGGATATGAGATCCTATGTTGAAATCCATTTCTTCCTCATTTAGTATTGATATCACTTGTTGGGTCTTGTGCCAATTTTCGAATTCACGAGTAAGTGCATGATTATATGTATCGTAATCTAACTATTAAACTTGTTGATTTATGGTGATTTGAATGTTTACCTTAACTACATTTAGAGTGGACATCGAGCATTTTGAGATATAAAATTTGACGTGTAGCGTATCTGTGAGATCTCACATCGGTTGGGGAGGAGAATGAAACATCCTTTATAAGGGTGTGGAAACTTCTCCCTAGCAGACGCGTTTTAAAAATCTTGAGGAGAAGCCCGAAAGAGAAAGTTCAAAAGGACAATATCTGCTAGTAGGCTTGGGCTATTACAAATGGTATCAGAGCCAAACATCGGACGATGTGCCAGCGAGGAGGCTTAGCCCCGAAGGGAGGTGGATACAAGGCGGTGTGCCTGCAAGGACGTTGGGCGCCGAAGGGGGTGGATTGGGAGGTCCCACATTAATTGGAGAATGGAACGAGTACCAGCGAGGATGCTGGGCCCTGAAGGGGGTGGATTGTGAGATCCCACATCTGTTGGGGAGGAGAACGAAACATCGTATATAAGGGTGTGGAAACCTCTCCCTAGCGGACACGTTTTAAAAACTTTAAGTGGAAGCCCGAAAGGAAAAACTCAAAGAGGATAATATCTGTCAGCGGTGAGCTTGAGATATTACAAATGGTATTAGAGCCAGACACTGGACAATGTGCCAAAGAGGAGGCTAAGCCCCGAAGGGAGGTGGACACAAGGTGGTATGCCTATAAGGACGTTGGACCCTGAAGGAGGGGTGGATTGGGGGTCCCACATCGATTGGAGAATGGAATGAGTGCCAGCGAGAATGTTGAGCACTGAAGGGGGGTGGATTGTGAGATCCCACATCAGTTAGGGAGGGGGGTGGATTGTGAGATCCCACATCAGTTAGGGAGGAGAACGAAACATCTTTTATAAGGGTCTGAAAAACTCTCACTAGCAGACGCGTTTTAAAAACTTTGAAGAAAAGTCCGAAAGAGAAATCTAAAAGAGGAGAATATCTGCTAGCGGTGGGGTTGGACTATTACAGTATCCATTCATGAGCATGCTTCTTCAAGTACTGAATCATCTGTTGTTGTGGCTGAGAGTCACAAATGCAATAACCTTTGCTCTTGATTGTTGTATGGTGTAGGAAGAGAAGGCTATTGATCGTGGAATTCTTCCCTTACTCCAGCGTGCAACTTTGGTTCAAACTTTTGGACAAAGGCACCATGTTTGCTTGAACGAGGGTTCCATCACTATTCCTCCCTATTGTCCTCCCCAGAAAATGAAAACTCACCTGATTCCCCCGGATACTCCTCGTTCGATCTTCGTCTATTTCCGGGGATTGTTTTACGATGTTAACAATGACCCAGAAGGTGGTTATTACGCGAGGTGCGTGTCTGTTCTGTTCTGCCATTCTTAACTTGTACATTCGACCTTGTGTTTGACACTTTAATATAACCTACAGAGGTGCAAGAGCAGCAGTATGGGAGAACTTCAAAAACAATCCTCTCTTCGACATCTCGACCGACCATCCAACGACATATTACGAAGATATGCAGCGAGCAATATTCTGTTTATGTCCTCTTGGTTGGGCGCCGTGGAGTCCGAGGCTGGTGGAAGCAGTGGTGTTTGGTTGCATTCCTGTTATCATAGCCGACGACATTGTCTTGCCTTTCGCTGATGCCATTCCATGGGAAGAGATTGGCGTGTTTGTAGATGAAAAGGACGTGTCGAACCTCGACACGATCCTGACATCAATACCGCCTGATGTGATATTAAGGAAGCAACGACTGCTGGCAAACCCGTCGATGAAACGAGCCATGATGTTCCCTCAACCAGCGCAATCGGGCGATGCTTTCCATCAGATCCTGAATGGGTTGGCTAGAAAATTGCCACACAGTAAGAGTGTTTACTTGAAGCCTGATGAGATGGTTTTGAATTGGACTGCTGGACCTGTGGGGGACCTGAAGCCTTGGTAGATATATGGTTCAACTTTTTGGCTGTTGTGTCTTAGTTTTGATTGATTTTGGGTACACAGCTTTTAGAGGTGTCTCCTAGCGGTACAGCGGACTCATTTGATTGAAAAGGTATAAGAATCCGAGCTAAATATTGAATCAGTGATGAAGAGAATTATTGCAAATTATCCTATGCATGCGTCATGGTCTTCTGAGTTGCTGACTCATTTGATTGAAAAGGTATAAGAATCCGAGCTAAATATTGAATCAGTGATGAAGAGAATTATTGCAAATTATCCTATGCATGCGTCATGGTCTTCTGAGTTGCAATGTTACCATCCACCGTACATTGAAGTCTTGCCTTTACCTGAAAAAAATAAACTCAGTAAGTGACCCCACCTTTGGGATTAGATACACATGATCATAAGTGAGACCTATCATTTAAATTCGTATTCCCTTAGATGCCAACGGGACTAAGGATTTCTCTATTATTCGTCCACCATAATTCTGTGTCATTTTACAGCATGAATGACGCATATGACAATTTTTTATCGTCGGAACATTCCATTAATAGAAATATCGTCTCCATTGACGAAACCCACATCTGAACTTTCATTGGGTCTTTCGTGATTCCATTGTCGGAACATTCCATTAATAGAAATATCGTCTCCATTGACGAAACCCACATCTGAACTTTCATTGGGTCTTTCGTGATTCCATTGAAAGTGCATGGATCATACCACTTGAAGTCCCGTAAAGATCTTCTCGTCTCAAATTATTGAATATATAAATATACGTTTGATATAAAAATTAATAAAATTTAAGAGAATATTTTATTAGTAAAATAACGAAGAATTCAAACATTTTACTTTCAGTCGAGAATAATATTTCAATGATAATTTTTGTTAAGTCATCAAAATTGATTTTTTTCCCTATATATATATATTATTTTTGTGGGCAGCTTAATTTCTCAGTACACATACACCAAACCTTTTGGTTGTGAGTTGACCTACGCCGACAAAGATTGCCAAAATATATGTTTTTTTTAACTTCAAACCCAAGAATTATTTAATTTTGTTATTTTATCTTATATATTAAAAAAACTGTGTGTAGTCGTGGTCAACAACCATCAGCTATCGGTTTGTTGGTAGGGTAAGAGCTTCAAGCCCGATTTGTGGTACCACACCCCACACATAAGCACTTCTCGATGAAGGGCGAATGAAAGCTACAGACCTAAAACCTTCGAACCTTCTTTCTAAATGAGAGTACTTGGAGCACCTTGTCCTCTCATTGTGTTCATTGTTCATTTCCCGTTGGGCCTGAGTGTTTCACCTTTAAGTATGTACATTTGACGTAAACTTTTGTTATTCTATTTTAGCTCGTTATTGACCAATTTGAAAACAAACCTCATAATTGTCTCATTTTTTCATTGTGAGTGAAATAACTTAATCGTTTTTTCAGTTCGTCAATGAAACGAGAAATTCAATATTTGACCTGTTGATTAAGTTTACATACTTTGTACCACTTGAGCTACGCCCGTATTTGTTACTTTTTTTAGGTCAAATTATCATATATGTGACGCATATTTTTATTTTTATTTTTTTACAAATTTTCCTTTTATTGTTTTTATTTTTTATGTTTTCTCTTATTATTACTGCTTACTAATTAAAATATAAATAATAACTAAATAGAACATTGGTCATTTTTATCGGATATTTAAATTAAAAAAAATGAACAAAAATATTTTCTTTATATCCTATAATTTTATTTTTTTTAAATAATATGTAAGTTATATATAAAATATTATAGATATAAATTTCCAAGTCATCTACAATTATGCTAAAATGGTTAAACTAAATTACTTATCACAAATAATAATCTTATGTCAAATTTTTGTGACAATGACACATTTACATTTTTCTTAATAAGTTTTTAAGATTCAATGCATTTGTCTCTTTCCTTAATATATATATATATATATATATATATATATATATATATATATATATAAACATTTAATTTACTATTTAAATTAAAATTTAAAATAATTAACAAAAAAAAAAGTTTATTTTATTAGAAAAATATTTTTAAAATAATTAGAATAAATAGAAAAAAAATTTAACGTTAATACCACATTTGAATAAGAGTGATCATTTATGGTTATTACCTATAACAACAAAGTTTTTCTAACTTTATTGTGTATCTTTAAAATGGGAAGTTAACATTTCTCTCTTTTTGCGTGCATTTTATATATAGTAGGATATGAATACTTTTAATCCTTCTATTTGTAATTATCTCCTTGATCAATATAGATTATATTAATTTGAAATTTATTTTACTTACTATATATATTATTTAAGTTACTGTACTGTGGATAAAGGTACAAAATACCATTTCAAGAGTCGATAATTTAATATAATAAACAAGTAGAAAAAAGAATATTGCTTTTTTTTTTGTTTTTATTTTAAGTTCAAATAAATAAATTAATAATACTTTATTGAATATTTCTTTTGAGTTACCTACCAAATTATATTTAAAAATTAAATATATTTGAAAAAATAAATTTAAATAAAATTGGGGGAGTTGGTTGTCACCTACCGACCGCCACAAAAGAAAAACTCAAAACCGAATATTTTTGTTTTTTTTTTAATCTTTATCTGTTCCTTTTCTTAAAATAAATAAATAATTATAAATAAATTATTTATTTATTTTCAGAGCTTAAAACCCTGTACCCTTTTCATCGTTTATTACGAGTCTTCCTTCTTTGGGCAAACCCACCTACTCCACCAACCTTCTTCTTCCTCGCCTTGGCGGCTCTTCCTCTCTGTTCTCTCGCTCGCTTGCTCGCATGGCTTCCATTTCCAACCTCTCCACTTCCATCTCCGCTCCTTCTCTATCCTCTTCTGTTAACCCTCGATCTTCTCTCTCCTCCAAGTCCTTCATCGCCTTCCGCCCCTCTTCCGATTTCTTCATCAAGGTCTCTGCGTCTAGATTGTCCGTTCGGAGAGGCTCCGATCTGAGGGGCTCCTTGGTGTACGTTTCTTTTTTTATGCGTTTGTGTGATTTTGATCGGTGGTTTGGCGATTTTTTTTTTTTTTCATTCTGGGATGATCTGTTTGATGTTTATGTTTTTGTCCGCTTCTGCTTCGGTTTTGTTTTTGTGGCGATGAGTTATTATTTACTCTCTTGTTTCAATTTCGTGTTCTTTCTTTTCTCGGATGATTCATTTCTTGCTGTTTGAAACAGTGGCGCTGTAGAACTGCATTAGTAGGATCTGTAAATATTTGCGGATTCTTAGATCTTAGTGTGTTATCGTTTTGAGTTGTTGGTTTGCTTTTCAAATTGATCAATCTAGCATAGAATAGGATTGTTTGATCCTTCGATATAAGTTGCCTCGGAGTTACTGTTGTATTTTTTCCCAGATTTTAATCAAAGTTGGATTTGTAGTTAGTTTCTTACTGCGGTTCAGTGCTTAATTCTTGGAAATGATAATAATTTAAGAAACATAAGCAGTGATGTATTTCATTTTGGACTGAACTCATTCAAGTACTCGGAAGTCTCTGATAACAGGGATTCGGTGTTGACTTTGAAGATGAAAAGAAACCTATAGTTTTTCTAATTTATAATGATCAGTTCGTTTGCATTGATGCTGTATAAATTGCTCTGGGATTGTTCTAAGCGATCTGTGGGCAATCCGTGCTCCCGGTGTCTGTCTGAATGCTCAAGATGCATTGAATAGCCACACTCCAACCTTTGTAGGATTATCCTTGTTGAACGTATGTTTATGCTATGCTTGTTTGGTAACTAATGTGATAGTATGAATTTCATGTTGTTATTACAGTGTTAGGTGTTCCCAAGGGGATGGAAATGGAATCCCAATTAAGAGAACGGTGCTTCATGATCTCTATGAAAAGGAAGGTCAGTCTCCATGGTATGATAACCTCTGCCGCCCGGTCACCGACTTGCTTCCCCTTATTTCCAAGGGTGTCAGAGGTGTAACTAGCAACCCAGCAGTAAGTACTCAGATCCTATACTTTTCATGAAAAGAAACAATATGATTATGTAACTTTGTGTCCAGCATTCCATTTTCTTGTGGTCTAATGGACAAAAACGTTAACTCTTTGCTTTTTTTGTCGAACAGATTTTCCAGAAAGCAATTTCATCTTCAAATGCTTATAATGACCAATTCAGGTATTTTTGTTATAACAAATGTTGTCTAAATCTTTCTGACTTTAGTACACTACGAATGGATGGTGATCATGTTCGTGAAATTTTCAGAGAACTTGTTCAGTCGGGAAAAGATATTGAAAGTGCATATTGGGAACTTGTGGTGAAGGATATTCAAGATGCATGCAAACTTTTTGAGCCTATCTATGATCAAACAGATGGTGGTGATGGCTATGTTTCAGTCGAAGTGTCTCCAATGCTTGCTGCTGATACTGAAGGAACCGTTGAGGCTGCTAAGTGGCTCCACAAAGTCGTTAGCCGCCCAAATGTGTACATCAAGATCCCTGCTACAGCTGCCTGCATCCCATCAATTAGGGATACTATTGCTAATGGCATAAGTGTCAATGTGACTGTAAGTTCTTTCTCTATGTATCCTTGGTTCTTTTTATGATGACTGTTGCATACTTCAATGCGTTTATCATCTCTGCATTGACCATTGGCATTCAAATTAGAATTTTAGTCTTGCTGCAACCTCCGGGAATTGGTAGCCTAACATTCGTTTCATGATTCTCTGTACAGCTCATATTCTCCATTGCTCGATATGAGGCTGTCATTGATGCTTACTTGGATGGACTTGAAGCCTCAGGTCTAAGCGACCTTTCTAGAGTCACAAGTGTTGCTTCCTTCTTTGTAAGTCGGGTTGACACCCTTATCGACAAATTGCTTGAGAAAATTGGAACGCCAGAGGCCCTCGATCTGCGAGGAAAGGTAACTGCATCATTGTTTCCAGAGCTTAATTTTTTCACATATGCAAACTTACTGTGAAGGTTCTCTGACTGATATATGAAATGATGAATATTTTAGGCTGCAGTCGCTCAAGCCGCCCTTGCTTATCAGCTCTACCAGAAGAAGTTCTCAGGCCCAAGATGGGAGGCTCTCGTGAAGAAGGGAGCAAAGAAGCAAAGGTTGCTCTGGGCATCTACAAGCGTTAAGAACCCGGCATACCCCGACACCCTATACGTTGCCCCACTCATTGGACCCGACACTGTAAGTGACTAACATCACATATCTCCTCTATCAAATTGATCAAACACGCATTCTCTTTCATTATCCAAATTGTAATGCTTCGATCTCAGGTCTCAACCATGCCCGACCAAGCTCTTGAAGCATTCGTTGACCATGGAACTGTCTCAAGGACCATCGATTCAAACGTATCGGAGGCGGAAGGAATATACAGTGCACTTGAGAAGCTGGGAATCGACTGGAATGAAGTTGGGAATCAGCTTGAAGTTGAAGGAGTGGATTCATTCAAGAAGAGCTT